AGAATAAACAAGCGCGCAGAGATGAAAAGAGAAAGATGTAAAAACCCTAAAAAATTCTAAGCAAGAAAAATGTTTTTTATGGTTTTTAATTGGAAAAGCTTTATGATAATAAACCTAATTCTAACCAAATTTAATTAACAAAATAAACTCAAAAATAATTTAAATTTATTTATTTATTTGTGAAAATTAAATTTAATTAAGAAAAACCTAAACTTAATCTTTTTTTTTATTTTTTATGATTTTTATGATTTTTTGTTGATTAAAAAAAGATTAAAAATGTTAATTAAAAACAAATAATAAAAAATGTAATGGGCCTCGCTATAAAACAAGTAATTAGGGGGGTGCAGATCCGAAAGGATAGGCCCAATATGACTAAGCCTAGGAGCTAAACGTGATTCAGTGTGGTTGATTCCCTGGGGTTCACCATGACCATGCTTATTTGGAGTGCTGGATCTTGAGAATGATGATCTAATGGTGTTAATTGGGAGTATACACCGTGCACACGCTTGATTTGTCCCTATTGGATCTGAAATGAGAAACAAAGAAAAATAAAATGCCTCACACCTGGATCGAACCCAGGGCGAGGCGCATGAGTGTCTTACGTGCATGTGTGTTGCCACTGAGGTGGTGTGATTCATCCGTTAGCATAATTAAACCATAACATTATAATGTAAAATTTCATCTAGTTCCAGATCATCAGACGCGTGCGTATTTAAGTGGGCTAATGCTTATTTAAATTGGCCACTCAGAAGACCTCATCATGCCACGCTGGTCTCAGGCAAGTCAAACCACCATGGGAGGCGTTTTCCGCCTTCTTATCCGGCGAGGAAGAGATTTGAAAACCTGCAAAGCATAAGATCAAGATGCACAAGATACTCTACCCCCCTTAAAATTCTCCCCTGAGTCCAAATCTAAGGCCCGTTTGGGCTAAAAACTCTTGAATCATGAAATCTGAAGCTTACTACATTCCATTCCCTAACTATGGCATCTTATTATTCTTGCCTCCATGATTACATGTAAGATGTTAGATTCACTCAAAACATCAATAGTAATAAGAATGCATGCATAAAACTGATTTAAATCACATGGTAAGAGAGTTTGAGATTCAAAATTTTACCAAAACCGTGGGGTGGTTATGAGGATGATCTGGGATGCTTAGGGGTTGATTCTAGACTCTGGAAGACTCCTGGGGATCTCAGGAATGTATTAGTGGCCTTGGTTTGGATTGATAAGGGTTGTAATGGAGGTTACGGATTTGACCACCTTTTGGAATTTTTGAGAATTTTTTGGGAGAGCTTGTATGCAATAGTTTTCATGGTCATTTGATATGAGTTTGTTTGCTTTATATAGAGAAGTGTCTTAGGATGACAAATATGGTATAAAACCAAGCCATGATGGCCTTGATAAAACAATATAAAACAAACTCAAAACTTGCCAAAATTGAGATATTTCTTACCATTTTGGCTTGTGCACGAAATTGGCAAGTTTGACAGGCTATAACATGATGTATGGGCCCTAAAAAAATCAACTCATGCGCTGGCCCATTGGTTTCATATTTTATTTAACTTTATTTTGTGTTTATTTGAATAAAACCAAAATAAAATATAAATAAAATTATAAGAGAACGTAAGGCATGGTGGGAGTGAGTTTAGAGGTCTTCCATAAAGTCATGGACATGTTTGAAGTCCAAAAACTTAGGTCACAAGTCCAAAATTTCAAGTTTGCACCTTTTGCATTTCATGAATTTCTTCAAAATCTCCCAACTTTTTCAACTCATAACTTGCTCAATTTTCATATTTTGAAGATGATCTTGGACTTTTTGGAAATATCAAGATGTCCTCTACAATCTTTATGTTGATCATTTTTGCTTTTGAATACTTTATCTTGATGTAAGTTGCCTTGACAAAAAGTGTGTTTTGGACTTGAGAATAAAAGCAAAGTTGTAGAGAATTGAATTTTATTCAAAATGAGCTTTGGTTGGGTAAAAGTTGATGAAGTATGTGAAAATTATGTCTGGTCAAAGTTCAATTGACTTCTCCTAAGGAAACCCTAATTTGTCAATTTTTGACTTTTGATGATTTGAGAGCTTTCCTTGGGGAATCATGATGGACCCTTGATCAAATGATGAATATCACTTTAAAACATTGATGTTGACCAAAAATCTTGAAGTTTGACTGTATGTTGACCATAGTTGACCTTTTGACCAATACAGTTAATTTTCAATTATATGAGCCATTGACTGAGCAAACTTTTGATGTAGGGCTTGAAACTTGACATGGACCTTGTCGGGACCTATGAAGAACCATGGAAGCCACTTGAGACCTTTTAAAACCAAATTTCCTTGATAAACTCAAAACCCTAATTGTAGACCTTTGGGCTTAAGAGGTGAGTTGACTGGCCAACCCTTGTGTATCTTGGGTATTTGAGAAGCTTTGAAAGAATGTCTTGAGCAAGATGAGAGGGAAAATTTTGGGGTACAACACCAGGCCCGTAAAACGACCCGGAATAACTAAATTTCTAAAGTTTGCAACTTTAATGAATTTTTTGAGGATTCTACAGTTCGAATCAGTTTCTGACTTTAACATATAAGTTGTATCTCTTTATCTTAACTTTCCAACGAATATTAGAACACATCAATTCGATTCCCGTAGCTCTAGTTATGAATTTTTTGGTGAAAACTGATCAATCAGCACATTGGATAACACGGGCCGTGTTGCCTGACATGGGTGGCCGTGTTGCACCTCCTGGAGCATGCTGGAAACTTTTCTGAAACTATATAGTAATAATAGGGAAATTCCCCTAATGTCGATCTCAAGGACTGCACGTGAATATAGAGTTCCAATAATGGTTCAGTTAAACAAAACTATATTTGAAGTTTTGGTTTTGGAATTATCACTTAACAAATAGCAGAAATATAAATTGGCTTTTCACTAATATGAGGAGCATGCAAGGGGTAAGTGTGTGATTTACTTCTGTAATAACCTTTACTCTTGATTTCTTCAACAATTTCATTACATTCAACTACTGAATCTTTAGTTTGTTTTCCCCTAAGTCCTTAGTGGGAAAACCTTTGGTCCGTCATCCTAATACCCAAGTCCTTAGAGAATTATGATGAAACCAATCACTTACTTTTTCAAGATTTTACCAGTAACCTATAGGGTATCCCTAGTCCTAGGTGATATCTATTATAGTTTAATCGTTCAAAAATCTTAACAATGGCGGTCCAACCCTAATTGTTAGCCGCGAATCAATCCCTATTGGTCCGATAGGAAAAACATAAGAACATTGAACAATTAAGTTGAAAAGAAACTGTTGTATCAAAATCAAGAATTCAAAATCATTACATCAAGGACACCCCTAGTATTGGGGGGTTTAGCTACTCATATTTTTCAAATGAATTTCAATAACAATAAAGATAGACATTACAAATTGATGGTGAACTATGATCTTCAATTGCTTCCGCTCATGAAAGGTCTTCGTTCTCCAAAACTTGCATAGGCTTTAATCTTCAATCGTCTGAATTCTTTGTGTGGCAAAAAAGTACTTCCATTCTGTCATACCCCAATTTTTGACCTAAGATCCCATTTTTATTTTTTTTTGCATTTTTGTATAGAAGTCAAGGTCACTAAATACAGTCAGTTTTAACCTCTCACCTTCGAGCATTGACTATGCAGAAATTGTCAAGTATTTTGAACATTCTTAGCCTATGTATCACTAACTTCTAATCAAGCACGAAATATGTGTTTTTTGATTTCATGTGCAGAGACAGGTCTAAATCAAGGACATCAGGCGTTGTGTTTCAATTAGGGTTTTGAGTTCTTCAAGTCATAAGTACAATTGATTATTGATTCTCAAAGACTGATTCATAAAGACATGACTTCTAAAACTTTGTTCAGGCTTATTTTGATCACATGTATGATAGCTTCTGTCTCGAGGATCTTCAGAGGGTCGTGTGTTTATTTCCACGCCTTGTTCGATAAGTGGTATCAAGCTTCTTCCAAAATTCCCCAAAGCACAGTCAAGATTTCATCATCACTGGTTTACATGTGCATCAAGATGCTTTAGAATGTGAAGAAGGATAAAGTTTGCAAGTCGATTCAAAACATTCCGACAAAAGTCAACTCTTGCAAGTTCAATTTCAAACGGTCATAACTTCTTCAATTTTCGACGTCCTGAGGCGATTCTTTTGCAAAGTATCACAAATATCGTTGTTTATGAGATTACTTCAAAGATTAAGGTTCAAGTCATTTTGCAATTGAAATGTAGCGATCATTGGATTAAGGTGGATTGTCGATTAAATTTCTTAAAGGCACGATTTGCACTATTGGTCTGTATTGCAAATTACTATGAGGTGAAGACGCGAGTTAGGGTTGAGAATTCTTCAAATTCTTGTGGTTTGCAAGTTAACTTGGATTTGAGATCTGAATCAAGATTGAATTCATTGTTGTGAAGTTTTCTTTCAAGTAACCAATAACCATAAAGCCAAAATATCCGAGTTTGTCAAGTAACATTGGGGTTCTTATTTGCAAGAGAGATTCAAGAAGGTTTATGAATTTGATGTCTTGAGTAAGATGCATTCCAATTTCCCGAAGTTTATTCCAAGAGTGCAAGTTCATTAATGTGAATTGTTCAAAATATCAAGAGTTATTCAAGACCTTTCTCAAGAATTCAACTTCATTCATCATTCATGCATTTCAAATTCAAAGACAAATTTCGACACAAATTTTAATTGGAATCAAATTGTGTGTCAATTCGGACTAGAGATTAAATTAAGAGAGCAAGATCATTTGGCGTAGAATTTATTCAAGAATTTCATTCAAGATTCATACTTTCATTCATGTGAATCCAAGAGATTACAAAGTACTTCCATTACAAAATCATCACCATTTCATATCTCATTATAAAACCATACACAAACACATGAATACCTAAGTCCTAAAGTGCTAAAATTACATGAAATCTTTATGCTAAACCACCAAAATAATCTTGTTTCTATGCTACTATCTTGCTGCCAATAATGCCAAAAAGTATGCTGCATTACTGTCCCAAAAGTATGCTGCAATGCTGCCCAAAACCTGCGAGGTCATGTTGCTGCACCCTGCTACTGCTTTGATGCAAAATCTGCACCACAACTTGCCAAAAACCTGTCCAAGAACAGTCCAAATGTAGCACAAAAGTAGAAAAATAAAAAAACTGCATCAAAAAGAGATGAAATAAGGCACTGCATTCGTTCATGTTTCACCAACTTTTCCCCCCAAATTTTATCATTTTTTCACTATAAAACTAAGGCATCATTCAATATAAAGGGCATGAGATATACAGAGAAATCTCACGCAAAGAAAAGACTTTTTTTTCTCTCTCAATCCCATCCTGTTGCAATAGAACCTGCAGAAAACACACTGAGAAGAAACAAGGAAAAATTAGAAAGAAGTCAGTGAAAAAATAACAGAAAAATCTTTGTTCAAAAAAAACTCTTCTCCCAAACACTAGAAAAATCGTAATATTCCCCTTCAATTCACCATTTTCTTTCGGTTTCCACTGTTGATTACTCTGCAGTTCCACCTATAGCAAAGCCAATTCTCAAAAGTTCCCAAAAACAACCTAACCATACTTAATCCGATGACACCCAGGTTGTGGCACCTACAAGGAGTTTGAAGTTTAGAACCTCTACGGATGCTTCTGAAGTGCAAGTTATTGACGCTATGAATAAGATATTTTTTCATATCAAGAACTCTACCAAATTCAGTGAGGCTGCAAAGCTTACCATTCAGTTGATTCAGACAAGAAGCGTTAAGCCTGCCATTGCGAAATAACACTTTAATCAGAAGCAAGCGACATGGTAGGATGGAACAGAAGAAGAAACGTCTTCGAAAGATATTGAAATTATAGTAGATGAAGGTGTTCAACTGCTTGCCACAAATGAGAAAAATAATGGTGTAAAGGTAGCTGGCCCATTTAGACTTGATGCCCTGATAAATGAATCCAAACGAAAAGAAAAGGTTAGTTGAGGAATTGTGTCACACACTTTGTGAGCGAAGCGAAATCATACTTTTTGAAGGCGGAAGCATATCCAAGCACCATCGTCATCCACCCTCCATATCCAAGCATTAACCAGATTTTGAATCAAAGGCGGGAGCATCTGCAAGAGGAAACAATATCCTTCAATTCAAACTTACAACACTTATGTCATCACTAAATTTTCAGGGTACACACCGCAGTTCAGAAGAAAGTGTTTCGAACGACATACCTAAATAGTTCAGAGAAAAGCTTGTCTCAGTAAGTAACTTCTTCCTTTGACACTTGATTCCATTTTCTTTTTCGTCTTACACTTCCATCATGAATCTTACTCTTGCGTTTGGTTGGTGGCACTGCCGACTTGTGAAGAATGTTTGAATCACAAAGGGATTTGTCGTCTCCTTTGCGTTTTCATTTGCCTAGCTTGATTACGCGGATTCTTCCATAATTTAAATACGGAAACAACATGAAGTAGGAGAACCACCGTGAGGGATGATATCGTAGCTGTCATGAACTAAATAAACAAGATTAGGAATGTTAGAATTCTGATACGAAGATGAAAAAACAAAGATTTGGATCGGTACATAGAGGATCGAAGATTGGGTTGTTGTTGTATCAAAACTTCGACAAGAGAGAGTGAGATTGAGAAACCTGCATAAATGTGAATAGAGTGAGAGAGTGTTAAAAAATGTTGCTTCCCTAGAAGACCCATAGGAAATAGAACGACTTGGGAAATTGATAAAAAAAATTAAATCTTGATCCTTTCCCTTTTCCCATTGTCGGCGGCGCAAGGTTGAGGAGAGGATAAGAAAATTGTGAGAAGATGAAATGCAGAAGAGAGAGGGGTCACTACATTTTTTATTTTATTATTTCAAATTTCCCTTTTAATTGAAACTTTATTAATAATGATGATAATTAAGTCTGACTTTTTCCTTCCCAAGATAGCCAAGCGGTGCCCTTCCTCATGTTTAGGGTTTTCAAAATCCTTTCTTTATCCTTCCAAAAGCGGGTCAAATCCATGGGCCTTTTAGCCCAATTTTATTTAAACCTTTTCTGTTTTTAGGTTAGTTAAAATGTACATATGATATTTAAGTAGTATTAGTCCAATTGCAAAGTTAGTTTAGTTGTGATTAGAGAGACACGAGTTCAATTCCTATTGGGATATTTCTTTTCCGTTTTTGTTAGTTCTTTAGTCTTATTTCCCAAAAAAATTAATATTAGTAAATCTTACAACTAATTTAGTTTAGTATTAATTTAGATTTATTTTATAACTTTTTGTTTTAGCTTTAGTTTAGTAAACTTTAGAATTTTATGTGTTGTAGTATTATTTTAGTAACTTTAGGATTTTATTTCATTTAGATTTGACTTAGTAAATTTTAGAATTTTATTTGTTTTAGTTTTGACTTAGTAAATTTTAGAATTTTATTTGTTTTAGTTTTGACTTAGTAAACTTTAGAATTTTATTTGTTTTAGTTTTGACTTAGTAAACTTTAGAATTTTATTTTGTTTAGTTTTATTTTAGTAACTTTAGGATTTTATTTCATTTAGATTTGACTTAGTAAATTTTAGAATTTTATTTGTTTTAGTTTTAATTTAGTAAACTTTAGAATTTTATTTGATTTTATTTAAGTTAACTTTAGAATTTTAGTTGTTAGTTTTAGTTTAGTGACTTTAGAACTTTATTTGATTTAGAATTAGTTTAATGAGTTTATAATTTTTATTTGATTTAGAATTAGTTTAATAAGTTTAGAATTTTAGTTGTTTAGAATTAGTTTAATATTCTTTTAGAATTTTATTTGATTTAGATTTAGTTTAGTAACTTTGGAACTTTTTTTGTTTTAGATTAGCAACCTTGGAATTTTAATTTAGTTTAGATTTAATTTACTAATTTTAAAATTTTTAATTTAGCTTAGATCTAATTTAGTAATTTTAGAACTATTTTTGCAACCTTAGAATTTGTAGTTAGTTTAGAATTTTTTTTAGTAAGTAATCTTAAATTTTTAATTTTGTTTAAATAACTTCTTTAGATAATTAGTTACATTCTCTTTTATTTTATTTAAATATCTTTGTCACTTTAATTTCTCGATGCCTTTAGGTCATTAATCTGTTTCGTTATATTTATTTTCTTGTGAATTTTGATTGCTTATATTTTGATGTCCATTTTATTTTGCTCGCTCGATTTATTCCAAGGGATATGTTTTCACCTTGTTGACTTCATGTCATCAAATATACGATCGTGCGAATACCCTCATTCATTTTTGTTTGTTTATTATTTTGCTAAACTTAAGATAATTTTCCTAAAAAAATCAATTTTCAAACTCACACCTTTTAAGTTAAAACTTCGACACTAGGTCGTCGTATCTTCAAAATCCCGTCCATACCCATTTTTTGGCCAAACGAACCATTTCAATCAAACAAACAATTTAAACAAAAACCAGATATTTCAAAAGGTTCATGCGGAGTACCACAGATACATTGAGTGCTAATACCTTCCCATTGTATAACCAACCCCCGAACTCTAGACATCTTTTCAAAATCGCATTGTATTTTCATTACTTTTAAGTATTATTTTACATTGCATATTTTAGGGTTTTATTTCGCTCTTTTCCCTTTTCCCTTGGAAATAATAAAGCGCGGTGGCGACTCTTGCTTTTGTGAGTCAAGTTAATTAATAGCTTGATCTCCGATTTTCACCGCTACAGAATTGGCGACTCTGCTGGGGATAGATTGACCTCTTGCTGGTCCATCCCTAAGTGGGTTAAGCCTAATTTGTTTTATCTGTTTTATCATTATTTGATTGTTTGATTATATGTATATATTATGATTATTTGGGTGTTGATAATATTTACAAAGGACAAGTCCTATACCCGGACTAAGTTACACTTAGGAATAGGACGGGCGGTATAGTCATGTTAATTTTGAGGGAGTAATCCCGAAGAAGGAGGCATGAGATCCCCCACTCAGTGGAAGGCCCTTTTGAACGTAATATTTGTTTACCGAGTAATCGGGAAGACATTATTATTTTCGACCTAGGAGCCAGAGAAGCTGGGAACCGTAGAACCCTAACCCATCTTGGCCTTTTAGGTGTAGCGCGGAGGTTATAACGGAGTAATCCAGAAGTAATTGTTACGCGATGCTACGCTCGGATGAGTTTCTCTTGAGAATATTGCCGATTATTGAGTAATCAAGACGTTGGTAATATCCGAAGGAGGAATGTAGACTCCGGGAACTCTTAGAACCTTGTTCTACAGGTGTGATTAAACCGTTAGTACATACCTTGGGGGTGTTCCTTACCTTGACTCCATGCTCGTGACGTTGAAACTTTCGACTCTATTTGTGACCTTGCTTGTGGTTGTTGCATAGCCATGCATTCATGCATCCATACAACCCTTTTCACTTGACTTTGAAGGAATTTGGAAGTCTTTCTTTGTAAATACCACAAGTTTTGTCAAGCTCAATGGATCTTGGGTATTGATAGGGTGAAAACCCTAATCCACCAAAATGGATGATTGATCTTGATGATAACTTGATCAACGCTTTGATCCAATTCAAAATTCATCTTCTATCTTCATACTTTGATGTTTACAACTTAATATCTTGAGTCCCTTGAAAGTCAGATAAAAACTCTCTTTTGCATATCATGCATCATTCTACATTTTTTGTTTCACTTTCAAAGGTCTTTTTCCAAGTCTTATTTTTCCTTTGGTCTCACCAGTACAACACTGACGCTAAGAGAACAATGGAGAATATCAAGCAAGAGATTTCTGAACTCCGTAGAGAGATGACTAATTTAAAAGCTAGTGTGGAGCACTTAACTGGTTTGGTTGAAATTTTGGTTGCCGCCCAAGTCAATCCTTCTAAGAAGGAGGAAGCGAGGATAAAAGTATTCACTGATTGTCATTCAAGGACGTTGGTTTTGAAGTTCAAATCAAGCACGTGCCGAAGAGTAAACACGATTGATGGTCACTTTGAGTTTTGAAAGATGTTTTCGGTGATTCAAGTCCAGATGGAAAGCCTTCCCCGATCATTAACTTATTTCTGCTTGTTGCAATTTTTCTTGTTTATCAAAACATTGTTTGCATGTAAGAACTTGTTTGCATTTGAATGATTATCTTAATACAATGAGCATGTTTGTCTTGAAGAAATTCATTCGTTTCACTCATATTTGTTTTCAAATTTTAAATTGCTTTTTGCATTATGATACTAACTTGTTGCCCAGTCTCTTGCCTAGGCAGAGATTGAAGGGAGGATGATGATCTAAAGAACACAAAATCTCTGGTTGTATTGCTTTTGAATAAAATCTTGTTGATGATGTACAGACATTGTTTCAAATCCCTAAACACCGGAGATATAAGGAAGATAATCCCTTGTTAACCCCTTTTGAGCCTTGAAGTAGGAGTTTCTTCTCTATACGAAAAAACCCTCAAATTTTAACCTAGGGCAGGGTAGTTTTCAGTTAATCTGACTGAGTGTTCAAAATTCATAAGGAAGATGTTTTTTGAAGAGAAACTACGAGGGCTATCCTTCATGTATAATGAATCTAGAGGATGTGTGTTGCACCCCAAAATTTTCCCTCCCATATTCATCAAGAAATTGCCAAGTCAGGTCACAAAATTCCCCAAGGGTTGTGCAATTCAACTGTCTCCTATACAGTCAAAACTAGGGTTTGGGTTCTGATCAAGAAAATGAAGATTTCAAGGGCCCAATCAAGTCTCATATGCCTATAAAGATGGTCAAGCATCCTCATGTCAAGTTTCAAGGCATTCAGCTCAAAATTGCACAGTCAAAACCCTAGATTGCACTACAGTCAACTGTAGGGGCAAAATGGTCATTTGACAGTCAAAAGTTCAAATTTTTGGTCAACATATCATTTTGAAGCCACAAACATCATTTGATCAATGCTTGATCATGATTCTCAAAGTTTGGCTCAGAAATCATCAAAGATGCAAAAGTTACTATATTTGGACAGCTGAAAAAGTCAACTGAAATTGACCAGGGCATAACTTTCACATGGATTATCAGAAAAAGTCCATCCAAAGCTCATTTTGAAGAGAAAGACATTTCCTACAACTAATCTTCATACTTCAAGTCCAAGAAATGCTCTCACAAAAAGTTATCAATATC